CTCTCTCTCTCTCTCTCTTTCTCTCTTTCTCCCTCTCCTCGCGCTGCTCCTCGTCCTTCTTTTCCTGCACACACTGCTCCACATCTCTGTCTCTCTCTCTCTCTCTCTCTTTCTCTCTTTCTCTCTTTCTCTCTTTCTCTCCTTCTCTCTTTCTCTCTCCCCTCGTCCTGCTCGTCGTCCTTCTTTTCCTGCACACATTGCTCCGCATCTCTGTCTCTCTCTCTCTCTCTCTCTCTCTCTCTCTCTCTCTCTCTCTCTCTCTTTCTTTATCCTTCTCTCTTTACCTTTTTAGAACCAGCAAACCACCTCGGAGTCGGAGGGGGGCTTGCGATGCGCCTTCCAGGAATAATCAATTACACTTTAATTAAATAAAAGTTCCCACCCACCCGACCTCCTGCCATGCTTTGCTCAAAAGCCTCAGTGTATCAGATATTGCTGCCCTTGTTTTTCTATTTTTTTTGAGTAATTTCGAAAAACTCGGAAGTCGACCGCTTGAAGAGGCGTTCCCCCAGGGGGCACGTGAACGACGTTGTATGACCTGCCAAAAAAAAACACGCAAAATCCAACGACGAATAGAACTTTCTAAAGCATACAATTTCAAGGCCCCCGCCGACTTTCGCAAACGTCACGAAGTGGTTTGCCTCCCACGTGCCCACACAAGCACTACGGCACGACGAATGATTAATTTGGTGACCATGAAGACATAAATAGAGCAAACAAAAAAAGGAAGCCTTGTAGCCTCGGAGTTCAGCGTTTGCTTTGGCCTCACACGAAAGCAAACACACCGCACGCGAACGAAAGCCCGCCCACACCTCTCCGTCCCTCAACAACTCCCATCCAGTCCCCATCCAGGCGTTCCATCCTGGTCCACCAACTCCTTCTGACGCTGTTTTTCGGCCTTGAGTTGCTCCAGTGCCGCCTGCAACCAAGGACTGCACACACACACACACACACCCACACTCTTTATACCCTCCCACCCAAAGTTATAGATATAATCGGACCATAATAAAGGGAAGACTAGTCGTCATTATTCCGACCCCTATAGTAGGCCCAATGCCTGGCCAACGTCGTGGCCTCCACAGTACTACTGCTGTCATCCTTCCCATCATGCTTGATACTGTTCTTGTTCCGCCTTCTGTTCTTGCTTGCTCCCCTTACCATCATACCCTAAACCCTAAACCCTAGACCCTAGACCCTAAACCCTAAACCCTAAACCCTGCAATACTCCTCCTGTCATTCTCATGATTCTTGATATTGCTGTGTCCGGTCTCATGCCGAGCGGCCACAGCGAAGACGAGCGCTCCCGATCCGAAGGCCATCCTGGGCTCGCCAAGGTAGCAGGGCTTTTTAGGGTTTAGGGTTTAGGGTTTAGGGTTTAGGGTTTAGGGTTTAGGGTTTAGGGTTTAGGGTTTAGGGTTTAGGGTTTAGGGTTTAGGGTTTAGGGTTTAGGGTTTAGGGTTTAGCTTTTTAGGGGGTTGCAGGGGATTCTAGGGTTCAGGGCTTGAGGGATTTAAGGTTGTACGGTTCTAGGATATCGCATTTCCAGGGGATTTTAGGGTTGAGGGCTTTGGGGATTTAAGGTTTTACGGTTCTAGGATATGGCATTGTAGAGTTTGTTTCAGGGGTCTTCGGGGTTCTTAGAGTTCAGGGCTTTAGGGATTTTAGGTTTTTAGGGTTCTATGACTTAGGCTTTTCGAGTTTGGGAAACCAGCAAGGCCACGTGGACGTGAAATCTGCACATGTGCCATGGCACTGCCAAGCAGCTTCAGCTCCCCGAAACATAAAAACCCTACCCAAACCCTAAACCCCAAACCCTAAACCCTAAACCCTAAACCCTAAACCCTAAACCCTAAGCCCTAAACCTCCAAGTACCCTTCAACCCCCCGAAGCAACTCCCCGCCTTGGGGACATGAAATGGCCCCCAAGGCAGGATTTCAAGAATTCCATACGCTAACTTCTCTGAACAGAACGGAGCCATATAAAAAAGGTGCCCTCACAAAAGACCCTGATATTCGAGAACTACCCATCTGGCGAAATGTTGTCACATCAGCAGAGCTGCCATCTCGCGGTGACTTGGCTTGAGACCTGAAAGTCAGTGAAAACCCATGATGCTTGCATCCAAGGGGGAACATGCACTGGCATGGAGAGCAAGCAAAACCATGGCCTCAAACGACACAGGGCGTAAATATGCGTAAAAAATGACTGCGCCAATCCCAGCACACAAACTACCTGCTTGGCGTCTTGCGCCGTCGAGCTGGAACAACAAGTGCTCTCGCTACCACCGTTGGTATGATAACGCCTGCAGATTGAGCAACATTCTCAAAAAGGAAGCCAGAGGGAAAGAGAGCCAACAAAGAAGCCAGGAGGACACGGCCACTCCCTGATGCTAGGGACCGTGCTGGTGCTAAAGCAATGCCGAGCAAAGCGCCGAGTGGAAGCGATAGCCTTAGGACCGGGAACAATGATACTTTCTCCGACTCTCTTCGCGCCTTGTCTAGAGGATCCGGGGGCATTTCCCTCAAGCTGGCAAGCAAGGCACCGGCATTCTCTGGGCCAACTCACAACTCTGCTCATCAACTCACCAACCCTCAGCTTTCATCTCCAAGCTTCGCAGAGAAAAGCCCGAAGAGCAGCGCTTGCAGCCACAGGGGCGCCATGGCCGCAAAGGCCGCAAAGGCCGCTTAAGCTTTTTTCAGTGCAACCCACCTATGTGGGCAAGATGCGCGCTTCTCCTACTGGTAACTGGTACTTTGTCCTACCCGCCGGACTCGGCAAGAAGACAGGAGCTCCCGTTTGCAAAATGCTCGTGGAGTTCGGGTGTGCTTTTGCTGTTCAGCTCGAGGGTGTCGCTAAGAGTGGGGATAACATGGCCTCGTGGAATGTGCTGTGTTCGAGCCGGGACAAGCACTGCAGGCTCCGAGCAACCTTAATTCCCATCTGGGAAGAACTTGTCGAAGTCCTGGCCGAGTATTGACACCAACCTATCTGAAACTGCAGCGTGCATCTGAACAGGACACATCTCCGAACATCTACGTGACTCTTTGGAAGATCTGAAAGGCCTTCGCTTCATCATCCTCTCGCCTGCGAATGCCTGCGAGCCTGAAGCAAACCTACAGCAAACCTAAAAATCAGCCAAGTTCATCTGATTTCTTGGCCCAGCAACGATGCTGAAGTGATGGTGCCCTCCTTGGATGGGCTTTGCAGACTCATGTCGCATCACGTCCCCTCTTTTGCCTAAAGACTCGCCCCGACGCCGGAAGAGGGAAAACTGTCAAGAGAGCTTAGAGTTCAGAGGTTGGGCTTCTGGCCAGCCCTGCGTCTCAAGAACCGAGTTGCGTAGCCGGCGTCGCACACACAGCCGCTCGGAACGTTTGCTCCTGGCATCGTGAAGCCAAAGCTACAGAGATGGGAGAAGCCGAGCAGCCTTAAACTCGCGGTCGCCCTGACATGCATTAGTTGGTGAATCTTGCTAACCCTGAACCCTAAACCCTAAAAACCCACAAGGATGTGGCAAGTCTGAAGAGTCCTGTGGAGTGCGCAGGGCAGGCCACAGCATCACAGCTGCCACTGTAGAAAGGCGCACCGGAGCTGGCCGAAATTGTGCCGGAGTAGCCAGCATCACCTAGTTCTGTGGTGGGGCTTGTAACCGCCTATGGTGATGTTGTAGGGTTCATGATCTTTTTAGGGCTCTGCATGCAGTTTCAACATGTCTCGCATGATAAGACTCTCTGCCTTCAACAAAGGGGATGTGATCGGCGGCACCAAAAAAGGTACCCGAAGAGGGCACTGAATTCTGAAACCTACTATGGGCACACCGTGGGGTCGCCAGAGTCGAGGTGCACGAGCAGCCGCCAGGAACATTGGTGCCCGTGGAGTGGGCTGGGCATGCGACCTCACTGAACAATGTTAGTGCCGTGGTAGTCAAGGACTATGTATATGTGCATGCATAGAAAGCACAGAGGCAGGAGCAAAAGTATGTATACATGTACATATATGCGGATTATATGCGTGCTCATATATATATATATATATATATATATATATATATATTATATACACATGTATATGCGCGTATATGCATGAGTCTGCATATGTGTATATTCAACAAATATAGATGTAGCGCTGGTATAGAAACATGTGCACACTGCATGTAAGAATGTATACTGTCCTATACTTCCCTTAGAACCTTAATCAAAATAGCATTGTTAATATCCTCTTAGGTTTTATATAAACAAAAATAAAAAGAATAATTCCCAAGGGGGATATAGTATCAAGGTGAAACCCGTACTCCAACAGGAGTCCATGTGCAGCCGACGCACGGCCGTGCAGCTGCCTGTGTAGAAGGGTGCCGCACTGGAGGCCGTGATGGTTCCCGAGTAGCCTCAGGGTTTAGGGTTTAGGGTTTAGGGTTTAGGGTTTAGGGTTTAGGGTTTAGGGTTTAGGGTTTAGGGTTTAGGGTTTAGGGGGCTGCTCTGCCGGACTTAGTGACAATCTGCTCACGAAGCTCAAAGCACACAGATGTGCAAAGAACGTTCAAAGTTGAACTGAATCACGCCTTCCAGCTAGCAGCATGCACATGCAAAAGCCAAAAATTGCAACTATGACACGGTACGAAATTCACAACATCAGACTGCTTAAATCCGCCGACCTCGGCAGAACCACAGCCCCAAGAAATGCGCTAGAGGCCCCCCAAGTTCCTTCCCGGGAGCGCATGCTACCACCCTTGCCAAACAGGGCCCAAACGTGTCATCCCCACAAATGCGACCAGCCCTTCT